ACCGCAGCTGTCAATAATTATCTAACCTTGTATTATTGAATCATGACCCTGGCATAGGTGCGCTCCTCAGAGGTGAAACCCGTATGGTTGTAGGTGACTTCAATGCGCACCACGATCTTTGGCACTCACGCCTGTCAAACGATCGTAGGGGAACAGACTTGGCTGAGCAGATAGACGATTCGATATTCTGCACAATGACCGACGACGCACCCACCAGGATTATAGGCAGCTGCTGCAGCTCATCAGAAGTAACAATCGTCAGCGCTGGTCTGATAAAACAGCGATCATGGCGACCTATGCTGACTTTGACATCAGACCATCTGCCCATAGTCANCCGACGACGCACCCACCAGGATTATAGGCAGCTGCTGCAGCTCATCAGACATAACAATCGTCAGCGCTGGTCTGATAAACAGCGATCATGGCGACCTATGCTGACTTTGATATCAGACCATATGCCCATAGTCATCTCGATCGATGAACCAACTGTGGCCGCAGTCTGTGGCGCATGCAACAATCGCCTTAGCAAGATCCATGAAATCACCAAACCATTAGCAACACCATAATATACTTTATGGTTCGATAAGCAAAGTTACCGGAAAACCGTAGGTTCGATCGAACGTCTAGTGGACATCACAGTTTTTGCCCCAAACGCCAATTCTCTATTTAAGCCGGAGTAAGCCCAGAAACAGGATCAAATAATAAAAGTTGCGATCTTGTGTGGTTTACGCATGTGCAGTGAGAAAGTTACCAAAAAGAAAGGTGAAAATATAAAGTTATATTTGTGAAATCAAGTTCGTAAAGATTGAGTCACAAAAGTATATTATCAGAAAAGAGCCCGTTGGAAGTTGAGGTAAGACAATGCNGAAAGGTGAAAATATAAAGTTATATTTGTGAAATCAAGTTCGTAAGAGGCGGATTTGTAAAGATTGAGTCACGAAAGTATATTATCAGAAAAGAGCCCGTTGGAAGTTGAGGTAAGACAATGCCACAAAATAATAATTTATACATATGTACGTACATGCTAATGGGTACTATTATATATGTATGTGAAGTACGCACCTACCCATGTATGCGCAACACAATGAAACGGAGGTAAATTTATGAATTTACCCATGCCGCCACTTGTTAACCGACAGGGCGTAACTAATTTTATATATTTTTGTCACTTTAGGACAACCGCGGGTTTTAGCCCAGGGAGCCGCAACTACGGACTGAAATACGGAAGACCGATAAACGACCAGAAACTTACCTGCAACAATCCACCTGTTTGAAGTAGATATTCCCAATAAACAAGGGCGCAACACCACCAGCGATCTGGAAACAAATCCAGCAGAGGACGGCAGCAAGCCAGAAACACAGCTGCGGTATTAACATAGGTGCCACTGTTAACTACGTGTAGGCACCCACGCATTGTACACAACGTTAACACCACACCGCAGAATTGTGAGCGCGAGGACTGGGAATAGCACGCACAAAGAGAGCAAGACAGGGTGCACTCTTTGAGCAAATTACGCCCCGACAGAGCCACATAAGCCCAAAAATTATTTTTTTATTAATTTTAATATTTTGGAAGTTTTACACCACTTTTTGAATTCTTTAATTTTGCTTCTGTAATGTTACCGGGCAATCGGCCCATGAATATATTTTCTACACTTGTTGATCACGCACCTTAGTCTCAATTGCTAAGGCCAGAACACTCGCGAAGTGCCACGTGCCAAGTAAGCGGAGTTTTCTTTTTCAACAATTAACTAATTACATACACATTTACT